TATAGAACAGACTTGTGGACTCTGGGAGAAGGCGAGGGTGGGATGTTTCAAGAGAACAGCATTGAAACATGTATATTATCTAGAGTGAAACAGATCACCAGCCCAGGTTGGGTGCATGAGACAAGTGCTCGGGCCTGGTGCACTGGGAAGACCCAGAGGGAGAGGGTCTGCAATGTTGTAAAGTAATTAGCCTCCAACTAATAAAAATAAATGGAAAAAAAAAAAAGAAACCAAAGATTCCCCTGCATTCTCCTCAGTTTCAAGTCAGGTCAATTTATAGTCAACCAGACTCTCTATTTAGATGAAGTGAAGAGGTACAGTGGTGTATTAATAGAACGTTAGAAAATGTTCCTTTCAACAGCACAGATATTTGCAAGCCCAATCTTAAGGAAAAGGATTTTAAACATGCAGGACAGAGTCTCACTTTGACAAAAGCAGATGTTGATCAGCAGTGCCCTGGGCAGCCTGACTTTTTATAACCTTGTGCTCTCGCTTCTCCCACTCTCAGACGCATTTACCGGCCCCTCTCTAGGATCCCATCGGAGGCCTTGGGGAGATTAATTCCCGTCTCCCTGTGGAAGGCAGCCGGGAGCGCTGCTGGCAGGTGGCCAGTCCCCAGCGCTGTAGCTGACCAGTTTCTTCTATTTATAGGCACGCCCACAGCCCTGGCCACACAGCTGCTGGCTTTGGACTCAGTTGAGAAGAACGATTTGGTTAACACACAGGCGACAGTACAATGTCGATCTCTGATCGCCTTCCCGATTACCCGGTCAACTCAGATTTCGTAAGGAAATTAAAGTCAGCCCTGGAAGGCAAGGATGAGGCGAGACTGAGGGACTTGATCTGCGCTGACGTTCGGCACGTGGACGCCGTGATAGAACTGGCCAACGACGACTGGATGAAGGACCCCTCCGCCCCGCTGCCCCCCGGGGTGCTCGTAGGTAACCGCCACGTATCTGCTGGGTTCCCCGCTGTGCACGCGGTTCCCCGCTGTGCACGCGCAAGGGGTGGGCTTTGGAGTGTGGAGGGCGGATGGTTGAAATAGGAAAATGATACATGGCCAGCTCTGTGGTTACTATTTATAAACATACGTACATGCTGCCTGTATTGTGTATAAATATATGTACATAGCATATACCTGTGTGTATAGACAGTATGTATCATAGTATATAGCTAAATGTCATAGTATGTATACACATATTTACTGTGTATATACAGAGTATTCATATATATATACTAGATTGGCCAAAAAGTTGCTTCAAGTTTTTCCATAGCATCTTAGGGAATAAATAATATATATAGGTACCGTGTATATAAATATGTATAGTATACATACAGATAGATACACATATAAGGTATATTATAAGTATATACATGTTATATATATATTTATATATACTATGTATACATACATATGTGTGTGTTAGCCACTCAGTCGTGTCCAACTCTTTTCAACCCCAAGGACTGTAGCCCGCCAGGCTCCTCTGTCCATGGAATTCTCTAGGTAAGAATACTGGAGCAAGTTGCCATTCCCTTCTCCAGGGAATCTTCCCAACCCAGAGTTCAAACCCAGGTCTCTCATATTACAGACACATTCATTAACATCTGAGCCACCAGGAAGTCCTTATACATATGCACACACACACACACAGTATATATCTGTGTGTTACACAGGCAGTAATTAAAGCAATACAAAAAGTTTAAAAAGAGAAAAGTTAAACTATGGCATCATATCCCAACACAGGGCCTCTTCTCATTTCCCCACTTTTTCTGAGCTAGCCTATTTGCATGTGTAAATTCCCTCGACTTACGTTCGTGGGGTAGATAAAGTTTTGTGCTCTGCTCTATTGAGTTAATATACCTAAAGTGTTTGCCATGTTACTACCTGGTCTTCTTAATTTCAATCACCTATTGAGGTGATTAACCACGAAATACTTAAACCAAATTCCTACAAGAAGGGACTGTGCGTTTACATTTTTACTATCAATAATGCTGTAATTAGTGTCTTTATTAGCATTCATATGCTTTTTTTCTTATTCAGGGTTGTGTCCTTAGGATAAATTCTTAGGAGCAGTATTCCTGGGACAAGAATAAATTTTCCAAATTGTTCTCTGAAAGGATTTCTATTCCGTCAGTGAGTGTGTGTGTCACGTCCCACCCTGAACATTACGGGTGATTAATACTCACATTTAAATCTCCAATTTAGCCAGCATACCCTGGCCCTTCTCTAATGCTTACTTACCCGCCTTCTCTTTACTGCTCAGGACTGTCTTATCCACAGGGTTTGGGTTTTCTTTGCAGACCTGTTCACATGTGACTTGTCTAGTCAGGTCCTTGGGCAATATCTCCTCATGTCTTTATATCTTTTTTGACATCTTGTAGGTCTCCTTCATAGATATAATACCGTTGTCACACTTGCTGAAAATACTTTCCCTGACCTGAGATTAACTTTTAATTGTACCAGGCTGCTTCCCAGCTTGTCAAGTGTGCCCTCCGCAAGTCTGTCTTGACTCGTAAGGGATGTGCATGGCTCCCCTCCCCACACGAGACAGATTCTTTCCCAACATACGTGTGTGAGTGCACACACATGTGTACCATTGCATGCACGCGTACCATCACACACACACACAAACACGTGCTCACTCATGCAGGCAGGGCACCAAAAGGGAACACACTTGGGCCCTTGGTGCTGGCGAGTGAAGCTGTAATGTGATGAAGGGCAAGACCGGAGCCTGGCGCTTCTGGGCAAGACCGGAGCCTGGCACTTCCGGGCAAGACCGGAGCCTGGCGCTTCCGGGCATGATCAGAGCCTGGCACTTCCGGGCAAGACCGGAGCCTGGCACTTCCGGGCAAGACCGGAGCCTGGCACTTCCGGGGGGGTGGTCATCCCTCTGCTCCTCCCTCCCCCAGCCCGCCTCACCCCTCCACCACCGCCGCGCCCCCTGTGCTGCCTTTCACTGGGGGTATAAGCAACCCCAGAAGGCTTTAGGGAGAAACCAGCTCCTGCTTCTTCTTTTCCTTGGTGTTTCTGATACCTGGGCCCCAGTCAGAACGAGGGCCCAGCAACCGTGTGCCCAGAGAGCACTCCGCCTCTGTTCCGACCTTAGCTCAGCCAGAGCACTCCGCCTCTGTTCCGACCTTAGCTCTGCCTGGATGGGCCGGGTCCTCACCGAGAACGCACACGGTACAGGCATCAATCCAGAAGCCTGCACTGGGGCGCGGAGGGGACTCTGAACTCCTCCCCTGCGCTTTCCAGGAGTGCTGAGCTCTAGGTTCTGCATTTGCCCTCCCGAGCCAGCCTGCCCACTGCCCACTGCCCGCTCCTGGGGTGACTTGGTGAATCGCGTCCTCCTGGCCCCGAGCTCTCTGACCCCTTGTTGGGTGCAGCTAAGGCCAGGCTCTGCGAGGAGCAGGGAGGGCAGAGTATTTGCTCCGGGGACCTGTCCCTGCCAGACGGCCCCTGTGATCTGGCTTCAACGTTGGGCTGAAGGCTCAGCTCCCAGGTGTCAGCTCTTACCTCTGGGCTTGCCCGTTCAGCCACAGGGAGTGGGGCTCCCACAGTGCCTCTGGAGACCCCATCGCTTCCCTGAGCCCTGCGTGCCTACGAGATGCCCTGGATCCCCACCACCTGCTTTCTGCCGGGATTCTGGCTGGAGTGAGTACCGGCTCCTCTTTCACAAACCTATCCCAGTGGGTTAGGGCTTTGTATATTTGAAGTCCCTGAGTTAAAATTTCATTTCTTGTTCTTTAACAACAGGTGTGTGTATGTGTGTGTGTGTGTGTTGGTCGCTCAGTCATGTCCAACTCTGCGACCCCATGGACCCCGCCAGGCTCTTCTGTCCATAGAATTCTCCAGGCAAAATTACTGGAGTGGGTAGCCATTCCCTTCTCCAGGGATCTTCCCAACCCAAGGATCAAACCCGAGTCTCCTACCTTACAGGCAGATTCTGTTTACCATCTGAGTTACCAGGGAAGCCCAACAGCAACCTTAATTTGTTCTTTCTTTATTCACTTTATTCTGGGGTGTGCTGGGTCTTCATTGCTGACCGCTGGGTTTCGGCAGTTTCGGCGCACAGGCTTCTCACCACGGTGGCTCCTGTGGTTGCAGAGGGCGGGCTCTAGGGTTCCCGCTTCAGGAGTTGCTCCAGGACGGCTCTGGAGCGCAGGCTCAGCAGCTGTGGTGCACGGGCTTCTTTGCCCCGTGGCCTCTTGGCATTCCCTTGGATCTCCCCTGACCAGGGATCGAACCTGTGTCCCCTGTATTGGCAGGCAGATTCATAACCACTGGACCACCAAGGAAGTCCAGTCTGTTCTTTTCAATTTATTTATTAAGTAGCAGAAATATTTTCACAATAGGACACACAGTGCTACACGTTAATATAAATTACAGGTAACATCTTACTATTTTAAATAGCTAAATGTCTCAGTATTAATAACATACTTTTATTAATCCAGGATAAAAATCTAGCCTATCCAACAAAAAGTAAAATGTCATTTATTTTCACGTTGCTGATTTCCCTGCGCCATCTTTATTATCCCCACCCTTTTACTGCGCACTTGAAACCAATGAAATTTGTGTGAAGGGAGTCCTATTCCCTCCCACAGTGAACCTATAGGTTCTAAATCACACCCGTATATTCTTCTCCCTGCCCAAGGGCAGGGACAGGTCAGTGCTGCTGACATGCTCTAAGGACTTGGGCTTGTTCTGGGTTGTTTTCTATCAGGATGCTGGTAACTGAATGATTAAGTGCATGGCCTTAGGGCACATCCTGTTACCAGTGATTTTATTGCAGGGGAAGCAGTCTGGGCTTGAACCTGGGGTGGAGATGCATGAGGCCGCTGCCGCTCCAGCTGACGTGTGAGAATAGGATTTGAAGGCAACATGACAGGTTAGGAAAGAAGATCTAGTTAGGAGGTGATGGAAGGCGGGCACCCAGGTCCAGACAGTGGGCTAGATAAGTGACAGACAGAGATAAGTGACAAAGCTGAGAAACGTTTGGAAGGGTTAAGTGGGGAGCAGAGGACAGGGACACCAAGTCAGGCAGAAATCAGAAGGATCTATGACTGTGACGAGGTTTGAGCTTTTGCTGTGAGCCCAGCAGAACGAGGGGAGACTGGAAACAAGAATAACACACAGGATGGCACCCCAGGAGTGCAGAGCCCACCCGGTGTCATCACAGGTAGCCTGTCAGGTGCCTCAAGGAGCCTTGGAGTGAAAGGCGGGACGCTTCCAGCAGGAAGCTTGGGTTCTGCCGCCCACGAGCTGTGTGGCCTCAGAGAAGTTGCATTCCCTCTCTGAGTCAGGGCCTTTACTTGTCGCTAGTGCGTGAGGTTTGATTACTGCTTCCCAAGCAGGGGTCCCTGAGCAAAACTCCATGGAGGAGCAGACTTGGGACGCGGTCCCTGGAGACCCATGCTGTCGCAGGATGCTGGAGGACAGGGTAAAGGCTTGTGTGGTTTCACCAGCGGTAGGGGGGTGGGGTGGGAGTTGGCAGGTTTGGGGGAGGGATTGGTGGTTTGCAGATGCTCTTTGGGAAATATGGCTAGGATCACTGTTGAGGCCCCGTCCAGCTCCATGCTTCTCTCAAGCCATGATCCCCAAATCTCACTGTCTCGGCCTAAAATGGAATGATGCTGCCTTTTTCCAGAGTGTGGGAGTAAACGGGCTCTTTTCCAGGGGACGGGTAATTGTGAGTCGTCGGGCAACACACCTCAGAGGAGCAATAGCCGTTTGCATTCAGACGGACACGTGGGGGCTTTAGAACGTGTGGCGAGTGGTCAGAACTTGGGGCGACCCCTTGAAATGCCGCACTCATTGGGAGTGGATACAGGAAAGAATTTCAGTTCTCCCAAGGAGGAAGGCAAAGACCAAGGGATGATGAGCAGGAAGACAGGGAGGGACCCACCAAGAGGTGGGCTCTGAAGATGCCCCCAGACCAGG